GTCCTCTGGCAAAATCAACCAAAGTAGGCTTAGGCTGAAGGAGGCTAGGGACCCAATTTACATCATCAATTCTGGTATTCATACCATTTCTGATTTCAACAACAAACCCCTTGGCAAAAGTAGGAACAACCCCAAGCCCGTTGGCCCATAACCAAGAGCAAGATTGAGATTTAACAGCATCAAAAATAGAGCAATGAGGAAAGTACCTATCCTTTAGGATTCTGCTCACCAGGAGATTGGGCTGTGTGGTGATCCTCCACAGTTGTTTGCAAATAAGAGCAGCATTGAACAGCTGAAGATCTAGAATATAATATTTAATTATTATTTTACTATATAATGAAAATGAATATTGTTAAATAGTGTAGTAGAATTGTTATAAAATTATATGAATTATTTTTTTTATAATATGGATTTAATATCTTTAAAAGATTTGATAATATAACTATAATATATTCTTAATGATATAATAATATGAGATACGAATTTACATAATACTATGAATTTATTCCTTAATGTTAAGATATTGAATTAGGTAATATATGATTCACTAATTTGTAATCTGTCTCTTTTTATATTGAAAATAATCATGTGATTGAGTAGAGATAACAATTATCTATAAATTCCTTCATTTAAGGAATAATTTTTAAATTGGTCCAAGTGTTGAATGCAGTCCGATTTTCTTGTAACTAAAATGAGAAGAGATTTTAAATTTCAAATTTCACTTCAAAACCACACGTAAATTTGGATGCAGAATTTATTAAAAATAAAATGAGAAGAGATTTTGAATTTCATATTCGTCAAAAATTTCAAAAATGAATTCAACAAAATCCATAATTTTAGGGGCATTTAATGCTACCCTATTTTATGATTTAAAATATCTAAAACTTTTTAAATATGGTGTGCAATTAATTATTTTAAAAGATGAACCGCTTTTGTTACCAATAAATGTGGGCACAATTTTGAATGTACATCCCGTCCAAATATCAGTTTTATCTTAAAATAAAAATTGCACGTAGTTTTAACCAATTTACACACTTTTTTTGAAAGAAAAAATTATTCATTAAGATTGGAAGAATTGGTTAGAAATTATACAACTATTTGTTTCGTAAATTTGTATCCAGTTTGCACGGTTTTTAAATTGATTTGTATTTAGAATTGTTTTCATAAATAATTGACACATTTTTTGCATAAGAATCTCTAAATTTGTTATCAAAAAAGATATGATTTAAATTTTAGTAAAAAAATAAAATATGATACGAAAAAAATGGGATTCAAATTTTGCCATAAGAATCTCCAAATTTGTTACCGAAAAAATAGGATTCAGATTTTGTTTCTAAAGATTTACATGTGTTTTTTCGAACTTTCCATTAATAGTAAGTCAAACATTATATTTATTTGGTCAAATTTTTTATTAATGTATTTTTCCAACAACCTCTTTATATATATATAGAGATATAGATATAGATATAGATATAGATATAGATTTTATTTTATTAGGTAAGTACTTTTGATTACTATTTTTGGTGTTAATCATATGTCAAATATAGATCATTTTAATCCCTATATAAGTTTTTATAAGGGCATCCGCAACGGTCATTAAAACCATTCATTTAAATGCTCTTTTAACGTTCAAACCAATGTGAGTGCGTTCATTTAATGGTGTAAATTAAAGGTCCCACCACTATCATTCATACCATTGAATGGCTATTTGCAACTTTTTTTTTTATTTTTTTATTTTTTTTCTCTTCAGCCACCACTTGCAAGCATTTTTTTATTCTCTTTTTGTCCTTTTTCTTTTTTTTTTTCAACGGCTATGCAAGCCTTTTTTATTCTTTTTTTCAACAGACTTGTAAGTGATTATTTCTCTGATCATCCTGTCTACCCGGATCATATATTTCGTAGGCGTTTCCGTATGCGAAGAGAATTATTCCTTCGAAAAAACTCATTCTTGGTACCGGAGTCGTGAGCAAGAACCGTGGCTTTCGACCGATTGGTATTTCAAAGAAAAATTAGGCAATGCACTTCAGACACAATCATCATATTTCCAGCAAAACTTTGATGCATCAGGAAGACAAAGTTTGTCACCACTTCAAAAATGCACAGCAGCCATTCGTCAGTTGGCTTATGGAGTCCCAGCTGACCACCTTGATGAGTATTTACGGACAATAAGTGACGACCCTATTACCGGTAATGATCAGAAGGCCGAAGCGTTTTGGGTACGTGTTACAAAATATTATAATGAAAATACACCTTCTGATTATATTTCTAGAGATTTGAATATGATAAGATCTCACTGGCATAATACAATTCAAAAAAAGGTGTATCGATTCAATGAGTGCTATAACAGTATTTACGGTGTGTATCGAAGTGGTTGTAGTGATGAGGATATATTAAGTCGGGCTTACGAAAAATATCGTACTGAGAATAATGGTGTAGCCTTCAATCTTGAGCATGTGTGGAGAATCCTAAAGGATCGTCCTATGTTCACTCCACAATCTTCTAATGATATTTTTGTTGAGAGAAAAAAGACAAGAATTGATGAGTCTGGTGCCAGCAACACTTCATCAAAGGGGGATGCGAGCATTGATCTAGATGAACTTCATGAAGTGGCTCGCCCAATCGGACAGAAGGCAGCCAAACGAAAGGCCAAGGGCAAAGGAAAATCTAACCTTGATGAGATGACCGCAGAATATAACATGGTTAAGCACCTTGCTGAGTTAACAAGCTTGAAAAAGACTGAAGTTGAAGTTAAAAAAGCAACACTTGAGGAAAAGAAGCAGAGGAATCGTCGGAAAGACTGATATTTTAATGAGGGACACAAGTCACATGACCCAAGAGCAACGTGTTACTCATGAGAAAATGTGCCAAGTAATTCGAGAGAAATGGAACTTTTAGACTTTGCATTATCTATTTTAATTATCCTTGTAATTCTGTATGTTGTAATTTGCAAAATTGAATTTTCATCTTATATTTCATTTAAGTTTTGCAAAATTAAAACTATGTAAACTCACATATTTTATTCAAAGCAAACTCACAATATTAAAGCAAACTGACATATTTCCTAGTCAAAAGAAGGAAGCTTCCTCACAATTTCCTAGTAAAAGGAAGGGAGCTTCCTTACAACTTCTTAGTCAAAGAAAGGAAACTTCCTCGTAAGTTCCTAGTCAAAGGAAGAGAGCTTCCTCGTAAGTTCCTGGTCAAATGAAGGGAGCTTCCTCGCAACTTCATCAAAAGAAGCATTTGTTTGGCTATAAATACCTCATTTTGTATCCCATTCCAAGTGAAAGAAAAAGAAGAATCCTCACAAAATGTCTCAAAATTCATATAGATCCGAGTTTAATTCATCATCATCCACCCATAGTGAAGATGGTGAAAACACTAACGATTTAGAAGTTGAAATGATTTCATCAATCGTTCAACGAAGCCACGAGTTACTTCAAGCATACCAACATGAAATTGAAGTTCGTAGAAGAAGAAGGTTCATCCATAGAAATCGAGAAGATGGACATAACAGACTTGTAAGTGATTATTTCTCTGATAATCCTGTCTACCCAGATCATATATTTCGTAGGCGTTTCCGTATGCGAAGAGAATTTTTCCTTCGAATTGTGAATGCACTTCAGACACAATCATCATATTTCCAGCAAAACTTTGATGCATCAGGAAGATAAAGTTTGTCACCACTTCAAAAATGCACAGCAGTCATTCGTCAGTTGGCTTATGGAGTCCCAGCTGACCACCTTGATGAGTATTTACGTATGGGTGAGTCAACTGCTATCAAATGTCTTTTTAAATTTTGTGAAAGTGTGGTTCAAATTTTCGGTGATGAATATTTGAGAAGACCGAACAGTAGTGATGTTCAAAGACTCCTCCAAATGCATGAAGAAAATCATGGTTTTCCGGGTATGCTTGGAAGCCTTGATTGTATGCATTGGGAATGGAAAAATTGTCCAGTTGCTTGGAAAGGCCAATTTACAAGAGGGCATGGGTCTCCTACGATTGTCCTTGAAGCGGTTGCTTCACACGATTTGTGGATATGGCATGCCTTTTTTGGTGTTGCAGGATCACGTAATGATATCAACGTATTGTACGAATCTCCTCTATTTAATAATGTGTTGCAAGGAAATGCACCAAACATTCATTTCACTGTCAACGGCATGCAATATGCAAATGGGTATTATCTTACAGATGGAATATATCCAGAATGGGCTACGTTCGTAAAGTCTTTTCCTTGCCCGTCAGATCCTAAAAGAAAGTTATTTAAAGAAAAACAGGAAGCTGCTCGAAAGGATGTGGAAAGAGCATTTGGGGTGCTTCAGTCTCGATGGGCAATTGTAAGAGGTCCTGCTCGATTTTGGTATAGAAAAAAACTGAATTTGTTATGTTGACATGCATTATTTTACACAATATGATTGTTGAAAATGAAGGAGGTGCAGTAACAAATTGGCACAATGACGAGGATGAAGAGCCCGCACAACTTGTCCAGGGTTCAAATCGAGAATTTCAAAATTATATTCGTAGAAGTTCAGAAATACGAGATAACACAGTTCATCATCAACTTCGTGCCGATTTAGTTGAGCATATTTGGACTCATTTTAGCCACTAAAAAAATTATATTTTGTAATTGTATTATTTTTTTCTTGTGTAATCTTAATTTAAGTTATTTTGGTATTGTAGTGTGCTTTTATTTTCATGTATTTAAAATTTATTATTATAATTTAAAAATATTAAATTTTTATTGAGAATAGAATATTAAAATTTATATTGAATGAATGGATATAATGGGTCCCATATTTGTATTTAAATGAATGTGTAAGGATGTGGGTATGTGTTTAAATAGAGAGAGAATTAGTGAAAAGGTAATGTAGAAATGATGTGGAAGAGAGAGTGTACTTTTTTGATTGAATGAATGAGAAAAAAATTAACAAATGCGGATACCCTAAAATCATTCTTAAACTAATAGTAACTGATTATATAGATGGATGAATTAATCATCAACTACCAATTGAATTTTCATCATGTGCATAAACGTTTCTATACGCCTCTCCTTATCCCAACGTCAAATCCAGAAACTTCCATCTATTTTAAATTTCATCATTTGTGTATGTTCCAGAAATGGCTGTAATGTTTTATACAAAACGTGAACCTACAAATAAAAGAGAATAAACACATGGCCATAAGCCATTTCAATTCATTTCCTCGGTTCCTCCTCCACCCTCCTTCCCCGCATGTCCATTAATAAGTCTTTTCAACTTTTGTTTGAACGCCAAAATTCTTGTGGTCCCGTTTTTATTTGCTTCAGCCGATTTCCTGTTCATTCCTTTGGTGAATTCTGCTGAATTTTAAGCGCCTGTTTCGGAAACCCTCTCAAAATCTGAGAACCAATTAGCCGTGATATATATTTTTCTGCTGTTGTTGTAGATTTATTTTAGAAAACCTTTTTTTTTACCTTTTTTTTTGGGTATTTTTTGTATAAAAATTCATCGCAGAGCTCTTGTTTCAGCCCAACCATTGCATGTTTTAAATAGTGGTTGCGATTGGATTTTCTGTGAAATTATTTGGATCAGAAGCCCTAGATCGGATCCCAGAATTAGTTAGCTGCAACTATCGAATTTTATCTCTTCGGTGGCAGGATTTTCCGTAATTTTCTTTGCAACTGCTAATCGATTCATAAAGTAGGAGATGACGATAGAGTCGTTTTCGGGGAGCTCAGGTTATCTGAGAGGTAGCGATGCAAAGATTACATATTTTAGCAATTCCTATGTGTTGGGGTTGACTGTTGTCGCTGGTATTGGTGGCCTGCTCTTCGGCTATGATACTGGTATGAGAGCTACATTTTTTCTTTCATTATTTCTTGTGCTTTTTACTGCGTAATCTTGCCATACGTCATCTTCATTTGCTTTCTGTTCTGTCATTCTCTCGTTCCTTCTTAATTTGACTGGCATTCTATTACAAACTGATTTCCGGGCTTTACTATGTTAAACATGGTATAAGATTGTTCTTTGCTAGTATTTGAAGAAATGGGGTTTATGTTATGATTATATTTCTTAGTAAAACTAGCAGTATAAATTCTAAGACATCTTGTTTCCCTAAAAAATTTTATTTGCAGTGGTCCTTTTTTGTGGAGTGTTCTCAATATGAAGTGACCTATATGATCCTTACTAGTTCATATCCTTATATGATGGTGCTTTTTCTCTTTACTTGCTTTTGAAACTCTGTATTACACAACAAGTAATTTTGTCTAAATAGTAATGTGATTGCTCTTGTACAGAAAGCGGAGATGTAGCGTATCACAAGATAGAAGCTTCATTAGCTTTTCTTTTCCTTTTCCTTTTATTTTTTGTTATTGTTGCCATGTTTACCAAATATAACTTTTGAATGTATGTTATTTTTGTTTATTCTTTAACTATAACACGTATGAAATGTGTTATAGTAGCCATCTTTTTTTTTAGCATATTAGTTTTATTCATCGTTAAGTCACTTTACCACATCTTTTTCTAATGTCTCTTTTACCACATCTTTTTCTAATGTCTCTGATTTGATACAGGTGTTATATCAGGAGCACTTCTGTATATACGGGATGATTTTGAGGTAGTTAATCAGAGTAACTTTCTACAGGTGAGTGGCTCTATCTTACCTTGGTTCACATTTCGTCTGCACGCAGAAGGGATAAATATTCTGATGGTCACTTATCACCATTGCATAAGAGTGAAAACTTTTTTCCACTTCTAATGTCCAGAGTTGGAGTGCTAACAAGCTTTTATATTTTAAGTTGATGAAACTATTCTCAACTTCTCTTTACTACTCCCAATTCTTTATATCCAGGTTCCAAATTTTCCATTAGGATTTTCTGTGCGAATAAGTAGCTTGTATGTAACCTACACTTCTTTTATAAATGGAAAACTTGAAATTTTTCTGAAGTGGGATATTTTACCCTCTATTTCTCCACATTGTATAGCCGAATAACTTATAGTATGTTAGTATTGTCCCCAAGAATTAATTCATCTTTCTACCAATTATGACAGCATGATTTTTACCTCTAACAAATTTTCCAGGAAACAATTGTGAGCATGGCTTTAGTTGGGGCCATGATTGGAGCTTCAGTAGGGGGCTGGATAAATGACGCTTTTGGGCGTAAGAAAGCTACTCTATCTGCAGATGTTGTGTTCACAATTGGATCCATTTTCATGGCGGCAGCCCCAGATCCATACGTACTTATTTTTGGTCGCCTGTTGGTTGGCCTTGGCGTCGGTGTTGCATCTGTGACTGCTCCTGTGTATATTGCGGAGGCTTCCCCATCAGAAGTTAGGGGTGGCCTAGTCAGCACAAATGTCCTTATGATCACTGGTGGACAGTTCCTTTCTTACCTTGTCAACCTTGCCTTCACTGAGGTCAGATTAAATTGCCATGATAATTTTCTTTCACTGATCTTTATCTTAAATGGATACTCTTGGTGAATCAACAGTAAACCTTTAGTAGGGTTATCATTTTTTTTTTCTTTTTTCTTTTTTCATTGGCTACTTTAATAACTAATATGAGCTTTAGAAAATTTATTAACTGGCATAAGCTTTGTTTAAACCAACCACTTGCAGTTTGTCTTTATTCACCAAGATATCGGAAAAACTAGGTAAATTTTATTGCAAATTCTTTCACTTTTCTACTAGTGCGTAGCCCGTGCGATGCACGGGAAAACAATATTACGATTGTATTATAAATTAAATATATAAATAACATTAATTATGATTTATCCATTATTTTTAAATTAAACCGGGTTGGACACAGTCCGACGGATGGACCGAGAACCGGTTTATAACCAGTCTAGTTCGCTTGAATAAAATATTTGCTCTCGAATCCGTCAACACCAGTCGGTTGGACTGGTAGGATCGATTTTCTAAATAAATTTTGTTATATTTAAAATTATTTTAAATAAAATTACATATTTAAATAAAATAGAGATTTATAAATTATTTATCAATTACTTTAAACATTTGAATTTATAAATTGTTTAGATATCTAAGTAACACATTTTATTTAAATTTATTACAAAAAGTACTATATATATATATTAAAATGTTTATAAATTAAAATATGAACAAACCACAAGTGATTTAATAAAATAAGTTGATCGTTTCGATGACTGTCCAGTGCTGAAAACCTTATATTTAATGTATATTGATAAATATTATAATAATATATTATTTAATTCACATAAATATTAATAAAATGATATCTAAATATTCATAAATCATTAAACATGTTGTAATAAAAGTATTGTTAATACGATTATTTGAAGTTTGGACTACATCACATTCACGTAATAAAATATTTTTAATATAAAATTTATATTTAGGTTCAATAATCGATTTTGTGTGGTCGAACAAATACATAACTTAGTCACCTGGGACCAACCAAGTTGTGTCAAGTTTTTTTAACTATTTTAAATATCACCTAAAAGTAATTCAATCAACCTGGGCAGTACCCTAGTTCAATCACCCGATTGATCCGAAGAAATTTTCTTATTTTCTTTACATATTTTTAATTTTATGAAATAAAAATATTTTATGATTCATATAATAAATGTCTACACCAAATGATAGTGTATTAAGATTATAAATTATATATCTAAAGATGAATAAATTATTTTTACTTTATGCATATTAATACAAAATAAACATAGTAATTTTTAAAAAATTAAGATTAATTGATTGATTATTCAATTTAAAGAATATTTTTAGCGTACAATATTTTTTTAAAAGGCACAAATATAAAGACTGAGATTTTAAAGTTTTTGTTATATTTTGAATTGAGATTTTAATGTTGTTCGTTGTTTCTAAGAAAAAAATAAAAATAAAAACTTACACACTTAATAAATCTTTGCCGGATTTTTTAAATAATAAAATGAACTAAAGCCCAAAATTTAAGGTAGCATTTAATGTTGTATGATTTTTAAAGAAAAAAATAAGAAAAATAATGAAACTTACTATTTATAGGCTGCATTAAATTTTGACCTATTTTTTTGCTACTATTTTTGGTAAATGTTAATTCTTATTATATATATATAGATGGGTCTTTGAACTATCGGTATTATTGAAGAAAACACTTCACATATATGTAGGATAGGAATTAATGGAAATTGGACTGCAAGTGATTGGAAATAAAATATTTTGGTTTTGATTCGATTTATTGGATAAAGTGAGTTAATTTTGAATAAAGGTAGATTGAGTGGGGATTGAATGATATTTTGGGTTTGTATTTAAATAATATTTAAATTATAATGATTAAAGTTGATGTCGTGCAAACGTAAGAGAGAGGTCATTGGAAATGAATGACAGTTAAAAATATGTGAGTGGGAGATTGTTGAATTTCGTTGATGCGATGTGTGAGGATGATTTATTGATATTATTTAATTATATTGATAAAAAGTAGAAGAGTTAAGTTGGATTTGAGTTAAAAATGTGTAAAAAGATTATCCTATTAGTCAAACCCAGTTTTGATTGGTTTCCAATTGGCCCCCAAATCCTCTAATCTAATCCTAAGGAAGAGTATATTCATATTCCCTATCTATTGCTACATATAGACTAGTCTTAGACGATCTTGCTTGCTCCTTATTTGAGATCATAGGCAGTTAGTTTATTCAGTACTCTATGAGGGAGTTTCAAGTTTGATAACACACACACACACACACCCTCTATTAATATCTCATTATCCAGTCATCTATTTTACATTATAAACAGGTTGGGGTCTTGCCTAACCCCGCACAGGCAGCTTTGATTTTAGAAAGAATAAAGTAAATTCATTACTTTGTTCGTTGGTGAATATGTTTATGTGGTTTCTGTTCCTATCCCCTACAATCCCACTCCCCTCACCTCCCACACCCCCTCTCCCGAAGAAAAAAAAAAAGCTTTCATTATGTAGCAGCAATACATATTTATTGGTTTTGTTGCAGAATTCTGAAGTAGCAAATTGCAAGTGGCTAATGATGTTCCACCAACTGAAAATGGTTGATGGTTAATATCTGGTACTTGCTGACACATTCTATTAAATGAAGTCATCTGTACTTTGTAAATTGACTTTAGCTCATGAAATGAAGGATATAATTATTTTTTTGGCTGTAGCTAATATGTTTTGCTTTTTTTTGGTTATAGTACATGCGAGTTTGTATTATTATGAGCTTCCTATGGACTGAATTTGGTTAAAGTTTCATATGTTGTGTGCATAGTTCTATGTTAACATGAGAAATATCCCGTAAATGCTCCCTCTCCCTAACCCCCTTTCTTAGGTGTAAATAATAGGTTTAACTTGCGTAGGTGGATAGAACTAGGTAAACAATATGATGGGTAACAGTAACTAGAAACTCAGAATCATTTATATAATTTATTCCTCGGATCAGTATCCTGTCGTTTGAATGTATTTTTAGATACAATACATATTTGCTAGAATTTTTATGAGAAATTGGGTTTATGGTTATTCAGGTTCCTGGCACATGGCGTTGGATGCTTGGTATAGCTGCATTGCCTGCCGTTCTTCAATTTTTTCTCATGCTATTTTTACCCGAGTCTCCTCGCTGGTTGTACATGAAGGTACACACTTCATCCTTTTCTACTGTACCCGTGTTTTCCAGATACCTCTTTCATCAGTTCCTTTACCTTCTTTGCTCTTGTGTTCATCAACACACAGAAAGACAAATCAGAAGCCATCGTTGTGCTTTCGAAAATTTACGACCCGATGAGGTTGCAAGACGAGGTCGACCAGCTGGCAGCAGCGCTCGAGGAAGAGTGCCAGAGAGACACTCGTGTCAGCTATTCTGACGTCTTCAGATCAAAAGAGTTGAGGCTCGCTTTTCTGGCTGGTGCTGGCATTCAGGTAATATATAAAATATAGAGTAAATTGCACTTTTAGTCTTGTATGTTGCACTACCCTAACTTTTTCGTCCTCCTCGAATTGCTTTTTTGATTTTCATCCCGTATGTTTGCAAAAAAGTTACAAAAAGGTCATTTTCATACATAAGGGACGAAATTGGAACCTTTTTTTTGCAAAACGTAAAGGACTTTTGTGTAACTTTTTGCAAACATACGATACAAAAATAAAAAACGCAATTTGAAGAGAACGAAAAAGTTAGGGTAGTGAAACATACAGGACTAAAATTGTAATTTACTCTAAAATATAACTAGTTATATTTAAAACTGTTACCATACTGTTGGCATTATTCGTATTTCTAGTTGTTTCAAACGTAAAAAAAGAGTCAAAGAATGTCACGAAAGTGTGAAAAAACCGGGGCAGTGAATTAATTATTCGAGTCGGGAATATTTTCGCAGGCTTTCCAGCAGCTCACCGGCATCAACACTGTAATGTACTACAGCCCAACAATCGTCCAGATGGCGGGTTTCCGCTCGAATCAACTAGCTCTCCTTTTATCCCTCATAGTAGCTTTCATGAATGCTCTCGGCACAGTCCTCGGTATTTACCTCATCGACCATGTGGGCCGTAAAAAGCTGGCGCTCAGCAGCTTATGTGGCGTAATAATCTCTCTTGTTCTCTTGGCTGCCGCCTTCATCCTTGAGCCATCGGGAGATGGGCTCAACTCGCACTACTACGGCTGGCTTGCGGTATTGGGCCTAGGACTGTACATAGCCTTCTTTTCGCCAGGGATGGGCCCAGTGCCTTGGGCCATCAATTCAGAAATATACCCGGAAGCTTACAGAGGGGTGTGTGGGGGAATGTCGGCTACTGTGAACTGGATATCGAACCTTGTGGTTGCACAGAGCTTTCTGTCGGTGGTGGAAGGTGTGGGGACGGGGCCAACTTTCTTGATATTTGGGGGTGTGGCTGTGGTGGCGTTTGTGTTTGTGGGGGTTTTGGTTCCAGAGACTAAGGGGCTGACGTTCGAGGAGGTGGAGAAGATGTGGAAGGAGAAGGCTAGTAGAGGGTTTGGGTCTGCTGTGGGGGAGAGGCTGCTGATGTAAGGCTAGGCTCGGGTGATCTGGTTGAGTGTCTATGCAGTGTAATAAATGTGGGTTTTTGTTTGGAATTGTTGTATATATTTTGTATTGTGGGGGTGCTCTGAATGTTGTTACAAGATGTTTTAGGGGGTGATTGGATATGAATTCAACTAGTAAAAAACTAGTTTTTTTTAACTATAGTTAAGTTTGAAAAAAAGTAGTATGGTTAGTTGTTAGTGGATATATTAAAATAATATTTAAATTAAAATAATTAAAGTTGATTTGATATAAAAGTAGGAGAAAATGATTGGAAGTGATGATTAGTTAAAATTATATGAGTGTGTGAATAGTGAATTAAAGTTGATGTGATGTGTAATAATGATTTTTTGATATTATTTAATTATATTGATAATATTGGAGATAGTGGAGTTGAGTTAAAGTTGAGTTAAATTTGAGTTTTGAGTGGGATATTTACTGTAGAAAATATAAACAATCACACCCTAACTTACTCAGAAATCTCAACTCCTTGTAAAATATACTCTCTTATTTTTAATTTTTATTATTTGTCATCCTAACTTAATTGATTATTTGTTAAATAAATGTCGTTTTGGCTATTTTGTACATATTTTTTCATTAGGGTTTAATGCATCACTCTCCTGTATTATACTAAATTTGCGTGTTTTCTCCCTCTAATTTAAAAATTGCGTCATACTCCCCTTCTATTAAGGTTTTGCATGCGCGAAGCACCCTAAAATCGTCTAAGATGACGGCAGCGGTGTGCACGCGCGTGCTGTGCTGTTTTTTTTTCATTTTTTCACCTAAAAGTGGCGGAAAACAGTGCTGTGCTGCTTTTTCTTCATGTTTTCACCTAAAAGTGGCAGAAATTACTGTTTTATCCATTTAAAAAATAAAAATAAAAAATTCAAAAACTCTTGAGTTGATCTTCAACCTCAAAAATCAGAAAAATGAACAACCTCAAATCCAAAAAATGAACAGAATTCAAAATCGTCTGAGTGTGCATTTTGCAATACTTGAAATTTCTCACACACAGTAAATTTAGGGAAAAAAAATTACAATTTAATTCATTAATTCACTTCATCAATATCTGATATTAACAAATAATTTTATTACACTCCAATTTGTGTAAGGACTATAATCTGTTTAGGTGAATTCAACCAATCTAAATTCAAAATGACAAACTGTAAAATGAAAAGAAAGAAAAAAAAGCGAAGGCTTCAAGAATTGAACAAGCTGATATAGAAACAAAAGTTTGTACAAAGAGACTCAAGTTACAAGCTAAAATTACAAATCTGAAACATAATTCCACTGGAAAAAATAAATAAATAAATAAGCAAAAAAAAAAAAAATGCATTACATTCTATTGTGTTCTTGTCAAAATTAGGTCACCTATGAATTCATAAGATCAGTGAACTGCATTGAATCAGAATATCACATTTGGAAGCCATCCATCCAAGAACTCCATTGTCGACCGAAACATAGAAGTGTTCGGAAAAAAAAAAAAAATGAAAGAAACAACAAAATTGTACCAGCAAGCAATTACAGCCCTTTGGCTCTCTTCTCCCTACACGCCGGCGGAGGCGACTATCAGATCGGGGTCGATTCCACCGAGCCCGCCAACGGCAGAGGAGACCCGAGCTTCCCCACCCGCAAGAGACGAAATCCTCCACCTGCATCAGCACATTGGAGACCAGCAAAGGCGCTCCCTGCCCGTACAGATCAAGGGAGAACTCTTCCTAAGAGAGGCGGCGGCGAACAGAGGCGGTGGTGGAGGTCTCAAGGTCGGAGTTCCAAACTATTGTTGGCGGCTGAGATCTGATTTTTCTTTTTTCTTTTTTGTAAGATTATGGTTTTCACCCTTTTGACGAGAGAGAACAATTGAAGAGACTGTGCTGGTGCTCCAACTCAAAATGACAGGGGCATAACGGGAAGTTTGACAAATATCTAACAGTGTTAGCGCCTAAACATAAGTTGGGGAGCGTCAGCAGACGAACACTAAATACAGAGGGGTTTGACGCAATTTTTAAATTAGAAGGGGAAAACGTGCACATTTAGTGTAATACAAGGAGATTTGGTGTAATAAACCCTTTTTCATTATTACCCTCATCTAACTTATTATGTCTTTTCATATTCACTCTCCATCTTTTCTCAAAACATCAATCTCTATCCTCATTAATGAGGGTTATTATTGGCAAAAAAAATATTCTTAATTATTGTGTAATTTCTCAAAACGACATTTATTAAAAATAGGAGGGAGTATGTATTTACTATCTGATGTAAGGAAGCGTACGTAGGGAAGTATACGAGTAAGATGATATTAATAAGATAGTAATTTTAAGAATACCAAAACATAGAAAAACATTCCATCTCTTATTTCATTCAATAATCAACTTCTTTAATAACAAAGAAGAAGAACTTTTAAACTAAGCTTATAGCTTATTTTTCAAGTTAATTATTAATTATTATATAATATTAATTGCTATAATAAAAATAGAAATATAATTATATTTATTCTGCACAACTATTCCAATCCTTGGCGAATCCGCGTTTTATTGTTGTGCCTTGTCTAGACCAGAAGGGACCATCAACTATGCAGTAAATTACGTGGTGGAATAGGTGTATTTTATTTTTACATTGTGCCCGAGGTTGAAATATCCTGGCAAATGCTTTCGGTTGAAGTTATATCCTAGAAAGATAAATATTTTTGAATTCTAATGTAACCTCAAAGGAAATGCATGTAATCTTTAGCGAGACAATAGTTGAAATTCCAGGGTAGCCTCAAACTATCGGATTCGAGCTCGTGAGGCATGCATTAACTCTTTTTTTTTTTTTCCAACGATAAATAAATTATATTATCAGAAACTCAAGACAATGTTCAACCGGACACCCAAATGAGTGTTTACAACATAGGGATAGAGAACATAGTCCTACCCCCTTCAACAAACCGCACATACTAACCACAACTAGTCATTAACAACAAAAGAAATATAAGAGAAAGAGTCCATGAGAGTACATATATCCTCAGCTATAACATTACAACATACATCAAATTGAAATGGTATCCTTTACAGTTTGGCAGCCAGATGTTTGTCATTTAGCTTGAAATTACAATCTAGCCAGCTCCTTTGAACAGCCTGCATCATGGCCCACCTGACAGCTTCAAGTACCATGCCTTCTTTGCATCCATTAAACCACAAGTTTGTTTTCAGAATCTGGGCTTCATCACCCTCTTTCTCAGCTAAGCAAGATATCTCCAGTTGATTGCTTGAGGAGCTCAAGGCACTGACAGTAAAGCTCCACTGTCCTACCTTCTAGAAAATCTGCTCCTCAGTATCACTGGAGTGTAGTTCCTTCTCCCTTAATCTGCTCCTAGCCAGGTCCTGCAAATTCAGAAACTCCATCCACTCTAATTTAGCACCTTCTGCCACCTGCCATTCATTCAGTTTCTTTTTTTCAAACACCCACAAGTTCCTGGTTTTCCACAGCCACCAAAGTATATAACAAGATAAACTTGTTCTATCTTTGAGGCTTATGGATTGTACTGCACTACAAACTTCACTCCACCAACATCTAAAGCTAGGTTTAGGAGTTTCTAGCATATTCCAGGTTACTCCACTCAGCTTCCACACCATTTTGGCTCTCTCACAGGAAAAAAGGATGTGGTCAAGATCTTCCACTCCTACCCCACACAGCATACATGTACTATTCACTTCTATGTTCCTCTGCAACAATTGATCATTAGAACTCAGAAATCTGTACCAACACTTCCATAAGAAGTGTTTGATTTTAGGTTTAACAGGGAGAGTCCATGTCAACTTCCACCAGTTTTTTCTTATATTTAGGCCTCCACTAGAGCTGGCCTCTGACTTGTTTTTACCTACCTCAGCCAAAATAGCATTATATGCTGATTTCACATCAAATTTCCCAAATTTCCCAAACATCCACACCAGTTTGTCCCTTCTACCTATTCTAGAAACAGAGATTTTTAGTATAATCTCTGCCTCATCAGGCTTAAAGGACTGTCTTATCAATTCCCTGTCCCATTCTCCTCCCCCCTCAATCATAAGATCATTCACTCTAGCCAATTTAACCATATCCCTTGGAAAACAGCAAGTAAGAGAAGGGTTAGAAATCCTAGGAAGCCAAGGATGTTCCCAGGTAGAAATGAGATGCCCATCCCCCACTTGGTATAGCCCCGAACTTTAACAGCCTAATGACACTAACCCAACTCTTCCACAACCAAGAATCCCCATTTTTAGGAGTCACATTGAAGATATGAGTGTCATGAAAATATTTTCCTTTGAGGACTCTACTTATAAGTAGGTTTGGACAGGTAATTACTCTCCATAACTGCTTAACAAGAAGAGCCTCATTGAAAATACTAAGATTCCTGAATCCCAAACCCCCACAAGTTTTGGGCTTAGTCAGTAAATCCCAGGCAGCCCAATGTATTTTGTTACCCCCCTGCTCCTTTTTACCCCACCAAAAATTAGCCACTTCCCTACAAATGTCCTTACATATACTCACAGGAAGTTTAAAACATGACATAACATAGGTGGGTAAAGCATTTGACACTGATTAATTAAAATCTCTCTCCCAGCTGAAGACAAGAAAGAATTTTTCCAACAAGAAATTTTTGCTAAAACAGCATCCCTAACATAGTTAAATGTGTCTCTTTTTGATCTGCCTATTCCAAGAGGAAGTCCTAAATATTTAGTGGATCCCACACTCTGAATTCCATTCAAAATGTTACAGATTCTCACTTTGGTATTAGCAGAGGTATTTTTAGAGAAAAGAATAGAGGACTTACTCAAGTTGACAGTTTGACCAGAGGAAGTGCCAAATCTATCAAGGATTTGAAGAATGAGAGAAGCATGATAAACATCAGCAGAGCAAAATAAAATAGTATCATCAGCAAACAAAAGATGAGAAATAGGAGGGGAATATCTACTAATTTTAATACCATAATACAAGGAATTAATAACTGCTTGATTTATCAAACTGGAAAGGGCTTCAGAAAGGATGACAAAAAGATATGGGGAGATTGGATCACCCTGCCTAATACCCCTAGAAGGTTTAACCAAACCCAAAATTTGCCCATTGACATTGAAAGAGTAAGAGATGGTATTTAGACATGCAGAAATCCAAGACAAAAACTGATCAGAAAATCCCATTTTTTCACAGACACAAATCAAAAAGGGCCACTCAACATGGTCATATGCTTTAGCCATGTCAAGTTTGACTACCATCAAGTATTTAAACCCTTTTCTTTTACTATTGATGAAATGAAGACAATCATTGGCCAAAACAACATTGTCTAGAATTTGTGTTCCTGGGACAAAAGCAGCTTGGGAATCATTAATGCAAGGGCTCAAAACTAATTTAATTCTATTAGCTATGATTTTGGAGATAATTTTCTAAATAACTGTACAAAGAGCTATAGGTCTAAAATCAGAAACAAGGGAGGGATTAGATTTTTTGGGAATAAGAGAAAGGACAGTATGATTAATACCTTTGGGCATCATTCCAGATTCAAAGAAGTTGATGATGGCAGCACACATATGGTCTTTGACAATTGGCCAACAGCTTTGGAAGAAGAGAGTGGTCATTCCATCAATGCCAGGGGCTTTATTTGGTTCCATTTATTTGATTACTGCATATATCTCCTTCACAGTCACAGCAGAAGTCAACATCTGGTTCATATCATCATTTATGGATTGAGGTATTCCATTCAGATCACAAACATCAACATCTGGGACTGAAGTAGTGAACAATTGATTAAAGTAATGTTCCAACTCTCTAGTTATTTCATGCTCATTACTACACCTTCTACCCCTAGAGTCCTTAAGATTTTCTAGACCATTTTGTTTTCTTCTTTGCTGCACAGTGGCCTGAAAATACTTAGTATTTATATCACCTTCACTAATCCATAGGATTCTAGATTTATCTCTCCAATACTTCTCCTCATCTAAATAAGCCTGATGAAGCTTACTTTTCCAGTTATTCCACTCACCCCAATTTCTGCTGCTACCCTCACTTTCCAATTCCATAAACTGTTCTTGACATATAGCAATCATCTTGGCTGAATTAGTAGTGTGAGTTCTTTTCCAGGCTAATAAAGCCTTTCTCACATTCCTAATCCTACCTTGAATGCTATACAGAGGTGGCCCATTCACTGGTAAGTTCCAGGCTTTTTCTACCACTGTCTTAAAACCCTCAAGTTTAACCCATCTAGCATCGAACACAAACCTTTTGGGTTTTAACTTCAAGGTACAGTCACTCTCCAATAACAGTATACTGTGATCAGAGGATATAACTGAAATGTGATTAACAATGGCATTTGGGAATTGAGAAAGCCACTCATGAGAAAAGAAAATCCTATCCAATTTAGCTTCAATAAAGTCGGACCCCTGTCTAAGATTAGACCATGTAAAGTGATGACCTTGGGTTCTAGTTTCACTCATGTCCATAGCAGACACCCAATCCCTAAATGGTTGAAAACTGACCTGATCCCTAACTCTACCCCCATTTTTATCTTCATTCGACAAAATAGCATTAAAATCACCCCCCAAAAACCACATATCACCCCACTGATCCTTAATACTACACAAAATATCCCACTGAACCAATCTGACATCAAAATCAGTACTAGCATATATAAAAACACCTCAATGAACAAAATCAAATCCAACCTTATTGAATTTGACCCCAATACAGAAGTCTAGAAAAAAGAAATCTAAAATGCTGATCTTATCAGACCAATGTAAAAACAAGCCACCTTTGGTCCCAGAAGGATTACAATACAACCATCTATCATCAAGTCTCAATTTTTTACAAACTAACTCAACAAATTTTCTTTTCTTTTTAACTTCAAACAAAAAAACTAAGTCGGGGAGGTGAGCTCTAAGAGCTTCTCGCAATTGGAAAATTGTAGAGGGCCCTCCCAAACCTCTACAATTCCACATACATACTCTCATTTAGACCATTGGGACCACTTTTGGCTGGTCACCTCCACCACATCTGATTCATTTAGATTGGACATTTTTGTTTTTTTCTTTTGATCACTACTCTCTGCATGAGAAGAAGATAACTGAAGACATTCATCTAAACTCCTTTTATGCAGAGAAGTAAAAGAAACAGGGAGCAGAGAGCTTTGTAAAGGGACCTCAACCACCATATCCTCAGGGATAAATGGTATCATTGGCTTAGTAATAACATATTTTTTCCTTTTTAGGACATCTTGAGACTCTGTTGTCATAGCCTGGATTGCAACTTCTACAAGTTGATTCCTAGTATCAACAGGAGAGGGTTCCTTAGTGGGTGCTCGAGAGGGTTTAGTAGGGGTTGAACAACTCCCTTCCTTAACTCTCTCAATACTATCCTCCCCAATATCTCTCTCCATACCCAAAAGATGGTTGCCAGGAGGAGACTCCCCTCTAATAGAAGACTCACTGACCCCACTACCCTTTTTTCCCACACCCTCTTCTTGACTAGACACTTTTTGAGAATTATCAGTGTTGTTATCCCTAGCCTCAGATGCCTTCAAACTTTTAAATTCATTCAAAGAAATGTGAGTGGCTCTCAACCAATCCCCATATTGACCAAAGTTCAACATTTTTCTAGTTAAATCATCTCTTTTCTCAGGGCAGTTTTTATCAACATGCCCAATTAAACCACAGTAAAAGCAGAAAGATTGGAGATTTTCATACCTGAAGTCAACCCATCTAGTTTCTGTTCCCAACTTCAGCTTAGTACCCCTTGGTATAGCCTCCCTTAGATTTAGCTCCACCTGGACTTGGATCAAATTACCATGGGGGCTGCCAGCTCCTGGGGTTTGTACATTCAGAACCTTCCCAATAATCCCTCCAATTTTGAGACCCATCTCAGCTGTAAGCCAATGCAGGGAGATTATGCACTTGAACCCGGATTTTGATTTTCTCCTCTTCTCTTGTAAAATCAGTAGCATTTGGATCCCATTCTTTCAACAATAGGTATTGTCCATCAAAGGACCATGTCTTTCCATGAAGAACCTTCAATTTGTCTTCCACTGTCTGAAAGATGAACTGAAATAAGTTTGTCCCAATATTTCTCATGGAAAACTGCTTCTGAGTCACCCAAATGTTTCTTAATGTCGCTTTCAACCCACTGAAATTGATCTTTTTATCCCCATAAACCTTTCCTATTAGACTCTGCTTACAGTCTTTCAAGGCAAGAGCAAAATCCTCTTCCTCAATTTGTAACCCATTCTCTTCCTTGTCTGATAACTTGAATTTTCTCATCTTCTCCATCAGAACATCCTCCATTGTTACCAAGAAATGGAACCCAGCCCACTCTGAGCAGAGATAGAAGACCTAGGCATGCATTAACTCTTGATGGACAACATTTTTGAATCAAGCTGATGCATATCAACTACTTATCGACTATCAATTAATTTTTCAATCTTATTGATTATCAATCAACTTTTCCATTATATTTACCATCTTTATTATTTTATTTTTTTTCACAACAATAGAAATAGAAACTCTTAATTTATTGTTCAAAAATTAATAATATCAACTAGCTTATTAACTATCAATTAGCTTTTTAAATTATATTTACCAATTTTAATTTAAGGTGAAGTGCAAAATTATTAACTATCAATGAGCTTTTTAAATTATATTTACCAATCTTAATTTACTGTGAAATGTCTTCACAATTGATATTTCTTGTTTAACGAAGTATGTATTTGGTAATACTAAGAGCATCTCCAATGCCTCATCGCCAAAATTAAAATTTTCTGCCACATGCGATAAAAAATTAGACTGTGATTGCATATGAGCATTGTCCATAGACTACATAACGATTGTTGATTACCATCTCCAATGCATACTTTCATTCATACATATATTTATTTTTAAAAGGCATAATGGCGGAAAAATACACGACTTTTACTTGATTGGCCATTTAATCACGACTTTCAAACCTTGGCAAATAAATACATGACCTTTACATTCTTGGCAACTTGATACACGGATTTAACGTCCGTCAACGGAAAGCTGACGTGGGTCTGACTCAGCAAACAGAAGCCAAATCATCAGTTAAACCTTGACAGTTTAATACACCACCTTTGGTTTTTTGGCAACCCGATACACGAACTTACCCTTTTTTGGCAAAAAGCTGCCACATCATCATTTTATTTTATTTTTTATTTAAATTCATTAAATTTACTTTTATTATTTTTATTTATTTTAATTCTACTTTTATTATTCAAATTATGTTTACAATTTAAATATATAGTGATTAAAAACAAAAAATAAATAAATATGCAACAACAACAACAACAACATAGCCTTTAGTCCCAAGCAAGTCCGGGTAGGCTAGAGATGAAACCCAAGAGAAACACAAAAAAGACTCGAACCAAAAGGAAGAGATCGAAAAGAAAAAAAAAAGATAAACGGAAGAGAGAGAGAGAGAGAGAGAGAGAGAGAGAGGAGCTATCCACCGCTAAATCCTTGGAGATATTCCAATCTTTAAGGTCTCTCTTAACCGACTCTTCCCAAGTGAGTTTAGGCCGACCTCTACCTCTCTTAACATCTTCGACCCGCTGTAGAACTCCCCTACGCACCGGTGCATCAGGAGGCCTCCGTTGGACATGTCCGAACCACCTCAGCCGATGTTGAACCAGTTTCTCCTCAATTGGAGCCACCCCGACCCTATCTCGAATATCCTCATTCCGAATTCTATCCCTTCTTGTGTGCCCACAGAACCAACGCAACATACGCATCTCTGCACACTTAGTTGTTAGACATGTTGCCTTTTTGTAGGCCAACATTCAGCACCGTATAGCATCACCGGGCGAATCGCCGTCCTATAGAACTTACCTTTTAGCCTTTGTGGCACCCTCTTATCACAGAGAACGCCCGATGCCTGACGCCATTTCAACCAACCGGCTGCAATTCTATGCCTAACATCAGCATCAATGCCGCCATCCTTTTGTAGCATCGATCCCAAATACCAGAAAGTCTCCTTCTTGGCCACCACTTGCCGTCAAGGGTAACGTCACCATCATCATGTGAAGCCATGCTGAAACCGCACGTCATGTACTCGGTCTTCGTCCTACTAAGTCTGAAGCCTTTCGACTCTAACGCATCCTTCCACAGCTCCAACTTCCTATTTACCCCTGCTCTACTCTCGTCAACTAGCACCACATCATCAGCAAAGAGCATACACCAAGGGATATCACCTTGTATGTCCCTTGTGACCTCATCCATCACCAAGGCAAATAGATAAGGGCTCAATGCTGACCCCTGGTGTAGTCCTATTTTAATTGGGAAGTCGCTGGTGTCGCCCCCACATGTTCGGACACACGTCATCGCATCCTTGTACATATCCTTGATGAGGGTAATGTACTTAGATGGGACTTTATGCTTTTTTAAGGCCCACCACATGACATTTCTCGGTACTCTGTCATAAGCCTTCTCAAGTCGATAAAGACCATGTGCAAGTCCTTCTTTTGGTCCATATATCTCTCCGTCAGCTGTCGTATTAGGAAAATCGCCTCCATGGTCGACCTTCCAGGCATGAACCCAAATTGGTTTTGGGTCACAGTCGTCACTCGTCGTAGGCGATGCTCGATAATCCTCTCCCAGAGTTTCATCGTATGACTCATCAACTTAATCCCACGGTAGTTACCACAGCTCTGAACATCTCCCTTGTTCTTGAAGATCAGTACTAAAGTACTTCTCCTCCATTCATCAGGCATCTTGTTTGACCGGAAAATGAGGCTAAAAAGTTTAGTTAGCCATGCTAACGCTCTGACGCCCAAGCATCTCCACACCTCAATGGGGATACCATCAGGGCCCATTGCTCTACCTCCCTTCATCCTCTTCATAGCCTCTCCGATCTCTGCCTCCCGAATTCTTCTCATCACGCGTCTATTGGTATCCTCAAGTGAGTCATCCAATTCCAGGGTAGGACCCTCACTCTCCCCATTAAACAATTTGTCGAAGTACTCTCGCCATCTGTCCTTGATCTCCCCATCCTTCACCAGTGGCCGATCCGACCCATCCTTAATGCATTTGACTTGGTTGATGTCCCTTGTCTTCCTCTCCCGAATCTTAGCCATCCTATAAATGTCCTTCTCTCCCTCCTTCGTGCCTAGGCGCTGATAAAGGTCATCATAGGCCTGACCCTTCGCTACACTTACGGCACGCTTTGCAGCCCTTCTCGCTATTTTATAGTTCTCAGTGTTGGTTGCACTCTTGTCAAGGTGGAGGCGCTTGAAACACTCCTTCTTCTCCTGAATAGCCCTTTGCACCTCGTCATTCCACCACCAAGAGTCCTTCGCTTCCTGCTTGCCTCCCCTACTCACACCAAGTACTTCTGCTGCCACCTTCCGCACACATGTTGCCATCTTTAGCCACATGTCATCTGTATCTTCTCCTTCTTCCCAAGGCCCCTCACCTAGCATCCTATCCCTAAACGTCTGTGCCACTTCCCCTTTAAGCTTCCACCACTTCGTTCTCACGGACTTGGCACATTTGTTCCGGTGGACACGTGTTCGGAATCGAAAATCCGCCACCACCAGCTTATGCTGGGGGACAACACACTCCCCAGGTATCACCTTACAATCTACGCAAGCGCTTCTATCCTCCCTCCTTGCAAGAATAAAGTCGATCTGACTCGAGTGTCGTCCACTATGGAAGGTCACCAGGTGAGATTCCCTCTTCCTAAAGAGGGTGTTCGCTATCAGCAAGTCGTAGGCCATCGCAAAGTCCAACACACCCTTCCCCTCTTCGTCCCTACTACCAAACCCAAACCCTCCGTGCACTCGCTCGAAACCTACCTTAGTCGCACTCACATGGCCGTTTAGGTCCCCTCCTACAAAGAGCTTCTCGCTGGCAGGCACCGTACTAACCAAGGCATCCAAGTCCTCCCAGAATTGCCTCTTTGCGCTCTCACTAAGACCTACCTGAGGGGCATAGGCACTGATCACATTCATGGTCAAATCTCCAACTACCAATCGGACTAGGATAATCCGGTCGCCTTGCCTTCTAACATCGACAACTCCATCCTTAAGGTCATATCGATCAAGATGCCTACACCATTCCTACTCGATGAAGCCCCAGTGAACCAAAGCTTGAAGCCAGTATCCTCCACCTCCTTCGCCTTCTGACCCTTCCATTTTGTTTCCTGGACGCATAGGATATTTACACGCCTCCTAGTAGCTGCATCGACTAGCTCACGTAGTTTACCCGTTAGGGACCCTACGTTCCAGCTACCTATACGGACCCTAGTTGGTTCGACTAGCTTCCTTGCCCTTCGCATCCGTCGAGGGAGATGCGAAGACCCTTGCTCATTTTCCACTACACCCGGGCGCCGATGTAGCGCGCCACTAAGGAAATGACGACTCGGTCCTTGCTCATTTAACACCATGTCCAAACCACGACATGGCGCGTCCCCAAGAGGGAGACGACCCGGCCCTTGCCCATTTGACACCATACCCGGGTTCCGGTATGGCGCGTCGCTAAGAGGGTTACGCCCCAACGAATTTCTCATGTGTTTCATCTCCATAGAACGGCTAGGTTTTACGTTGGCTCGCCAAGCCTATCACAACCCTCCTCCTTTACCAGGGCTTGGGACCTGCTATGTTGAGACAACATAGGCGGAGTTAAAAA